AAAAAGTACCATATGGCCACACAGCTTAGTATGGAGTCCATGAAAAAAACCTAGATCCCAATCACCTAGCTTATCACTATTTTTTTGACAGAAAAGAATCCTTATGTCTGAGCGAGATGTACCAAGCCAGCTTTTCTTCTTCATTTCTAAAACATTTTCCTTTCTACCTGAAGCACACCTGTAGTAACTTCTTGAGGACATGGAACTAGAGCTGGAATCCTATCTACAGTTAGAAAGCAGGTCAGATTAAAAGAGGAGGTAAAAAGAAGTAGGAAACAGAGCAGTAGGCCAAGCTTGCAGACTAGAGGTAGGCTGCCTAGAAAACCTACTAAAAGTTTATCTATGGAAGTCATTAGGTATCCTCCATCTGCGGGTCACAGATACATCAGCGTTGAGAAACGGAAAGAAACAATCAATCATGGAATTAGTTAATATTGATAAAGAACCCAGGAGCTACTGCTGCAGAATTCTGGTCAAATTTCCATTTGAACAGTTCCTATCCCTGGGCACAAAAGCAATTGCTGTTGCAGATTTAAATTGGCGTTTAGGAAGTTTCATGCTTGACTAGGTTTTGCGTTCACTTGAAGGCAGGGCTCACCAGTTTTCCTCTATTTTTGTTTCATCTTTGAAGTCACCATCATATAATTAAAACTAAGTCCTTAAACCCCTTCACACAGTTATAATGAGCAAGTGATCATAGTGGCCTATCTTTGAGAGGTCTGGTTACAGGCAAATACAAGGTAGGGTACCTATACTACGCACGCATAGCCCCAGAGGTACTGCAGACATTGGCCATGTCTCCTACAGATTAGTAGAGCAACCCTCTACTGCTCTCCTAGAAATAATAGCGTAATATTTTAAAAAGCAACCAAAAGCCACATCATTCAGAACAGCCTTAAATGGTTTTGTCGTAGTTCTCTATTAGGACTCGGGGAATTTAAATGCAATATTCTAAAAATGCAATGGTAGTTGTGGATACTTATTTTAACTACAAGGTTTAACTACCATGTCTTAAAACGCTTTCAAGTACTTCCATTTTAGATATACTGTAACCACCTACTCAACTGAATCTGCATGCCTGGCTCCATTAATCCCTTATTCCTGTGCTTCTGAAATTTAACATATGCCTTCAAGGTATGCGAGCCTGTGCTCTGTATTTCACTAATTAACCACAATGAAGGTGCTTTTAGTCTCTGCAGAGTGGGTTTTTTATAGTTCTCCCTCCCTTCCACAAGTAAGAGAGTTTCAATGGATCTTTTCCCTCTAACACATTTTAACCTTGCTCTGACTGACATCCAGCACTGCAGCAGCACATTTCTGTTTGACACTATTGCTTTTTGAAACAGGGGTCCTTTACCCGGCTGGCCACACAGGACATTCTAAGTCCCTTACAGCCACAGTTTCACTGCATATCTGGTCCATAACGCTTTGGACCCCTGCCGGCATACAGAGTAACGTCACTCCTAAGTGAGACAGTACTGAATGCTGAGCGCTCCAACTTCATATGTCCCATCACTGGACTATGGGAACAAGCAGGCAGTTGTCACCAAGATATACCATTCCAAACCACAGGGGAAGGCTACAGATGACAGTTGTCTCTGCATAGCTGGTGAAAGCTAGGCTGGGGAACAGAACAAGCAGCTAAAGCATATGAAGAACTACACCTTCTTTTGTTTTCCCACACCAATTACACTCAAAGCCCGTCAGAAGAGCAGGCCCTCCCACCCCACCCTTCAGCAGGTAATGTTTGCATGTCCATCACCTCCATGAAGTAATGCTCACCCAAAAAACCTGACAGCCCAAATGACCCTGGTTCACAAAAAAAACCTACTCCACAACTCTGCCAAGAGTAGGTCTGGCTTTGGCTACTGTAAGTCTTTACCCTCAAACCCATTTCTGGAAATGGAATTGCCTTCTGCACTGACAGCCTTCACTCTGAAAACCTTAACTTCTAATATCTGAGAATCAAAAATGCAAAGATGTAGAGGTGATTCTTGCCCTATTTCCCTCGCAACAGCTATTGTTTAAACTTGCTTTCTTTTATCTTGAGAAAAGGTTTAACTGTAACAGATACATTTGGCGAAAATACCAACCAGCTCTAGCATGGAGCAGAACCAAAATGGTAACTCCAAAGTATGCTGAACAGGGGGACTAGGCAGTCTTTCTGTTGGTTTTATCTTATTAAGCAGTGCCATATTCACTACAGCAGCAATGAAGAATGCAACAAGGAAATCACAAGTCATTAGTGCTTGTTAAAATTATTTCTCAATTCAAATAATTTTCTTTTGAAGCAGTTCTTCTTTAATCAAGATATGGCATACCTCATTAAAATGGATTTGCAATATTCTCCTTTTCTCTCTAGGCAGAGGGATACAAAAAAAAAACCCACCAAAAAACCAACCCCAGCACATCACACGTGATTCATTAAGACTATACCCTATGTTTTGATTTTTTTTTTTTTTTTAAAAAGGACCGCTAACGATATTAGGAAACCAATAACCCTGCAAGGGATAACATTTGTGTGGAACACCATGCAGAAAGGTATTCCAATGTTTAATTAGTTCTCACTGTGCTGTACAGCTTTAATCAAACAGCCCAGCCCTTCTTAACAGAAGTCTTTCAGTACCCAATGCAAAAAAAGCTGCCACTCAGGGTCTCAGAGAGCTCAAATTTATTATTTTTCGTCAGCAAATACAACAAAGAATTTGCTGACTAGTAATAAGCCATCTGTGCTACCAAACAACTATAAAGCTACCTTCTGAAAAGTTACTCCTTGGGTAACAGCTTGAACTAGTTTGAACTATGTCCCAAGTTTTCTAGTCTCTGACAACCTGTTTAGGCTTACTCCAATTTTTTCAAAAAGATGCAAGCAAACTGGGCTATCTCAGTACAATTAAGACTTTTAAACCATGTTGGATCTTCAGATGGCCATATCCAAGATTTTAGGAAAAAACATTATACTACTAAAAAGTACAGACTGCTCTATGGAATTGCCAAGACACGTTTATGCAATACTTCACCCTAAAGGGTCCTCTATATTTTAAGTAGAAATCCAGCATATATTGAATCCCTTATTTAGGGTGAGTTTTCTTTTTCATAGTTAACATTAAAAAAAGAAAAAAAATCAGATCCCTCGTTGAGAAAAGACTATCTACAATGACTGCTCCAAATCTGTAGAGGTGTGGGTTTTCTTAAAAAAAAAAGTCAACTTGGAATATAGACGTTCTAAAATCATGCAGTTTGACATTAGTCAGGGTTTTAAGTAGTGTGCATAACCTTGACCACCCCTGCTCTCCAGGATTAAATGCATTATTGGGCTCTCCTATGTCCATTCTTTTACAGTTGGACTCGGTGATCTGAAAGGTCTTTTCCAACCTAAATGATTCTATGATTTGCAACATGCTATAGGATATTTTTTTCGGTGCACAGATCAAACGATGTATCAAGAAGTTCTCAGTGAGAAGGGTGAGCTCTTTAATGAAAGGTATCCTCTCTCCCAGAGAAAGTATACTGTAAACCTTACCTGTCAGTTTGTCTGAGCTAAATACAACATTAATGTCGAGGTCGTTGCTTGTCGCATTTCCATTATCAGGAGAGTCTTTGCACTGAGAAAATCTGATCCACAGTGCAGCGGAGGTAATGGACAATCTGTGATAGTATTAGTGTGCTTTCATTCAAGAGCTAAACATGTTAACATACTACAAAAGAGCATTTTGAATGCGTGCATTGTAACTCAATAGCAATTTCCAAGGGAGCATTAGAGGCCCACTGTAATAAAAACCTCCTATAAACCTAAAACATTTTAAGATCGCCAGTCAAGCAACTATATATTCCTAATGCATAATGCCAAATAATGAATTACACCTTTTAAGGATGAACCATATTGGATTTTTTAAAAAGGCCGTGTGACGGGGATACAGTTCTTTGTCTTTCCTAAGCAGATCATTGTACATCTGATCATATGTTGTTTTGAAATCATAAACATTCGGCTTGTCCGGTGCTGGTCCTGGCAGTTTCACATGAGTCCCTGTTCCAAAGGATCGGACACTGAATCCTCGTTTGCTGAAAGACAGAGGGGAAGGGGAAGGGAAAAGGCAATTAGATTGGATGGACTTTAAACACCAAAGTACTGAAGAACACATAATGAATTTTAAAAACACCTCTTAGCAATCAGCCAAATCGTAACCAAACAGTTGTGTATCAACTAAGTTGCCAAGTGTACCCAACACGCATATTTCCTTGCCATTACAATCAAAACTCACACACCATGTCTAAAGGAATGCCTACATTATGGTACATAGCATTTTGGATATTTCTTCTGGGCTTTCAGGCATCTTGGATTTGCACAAGCACGCACTCTATATTCACCCTTGGACAATACAGTATAGGCAAAGATGGTTTTGTCTTGATATAAGAAAGTAAGTAACAATACCAACTGATCAATATTCATGTATTCTGCTAAAGTTGCTGGGCTAACTACCATATTCCCCTCACTATGTTGCCAAAACTACCTCCAGTGTAATTTAATTAGCCGAGTACAAACATTTGTGTGCCTGGCACTTTTCTCAAGTGGACTGGAAAACATATTGTGTAATTATCTTTACAGAAGTGGGGCACATATTCTGCTGGCTGGCACCTAAAACTCTTGGGTAAGCCAGGGATAGCTTCATTCCATTCCCATGAACAACTGTTTAATAATTATAATTAAAAAAAAAAAAAAAAAAAAAGAAGAAAAGAAGAGGCAGGAACCTGCTTGTCTTTAGGGGTAATGCCAAAACATTCTGATTAACCTAAAAACACCTACTTGGACCTAAACAAATCCTTCAATAATATTAAGAAACATTACAATATATTTGTTGAATAACAGGACTAACATGACCGAAAAAGGATTGTTTTCTGGTGGTCTAATGGACAAAGTTACATAGTAAAATACTGTCACTACTGTCCAGGATGCTGAAACGTCTGGCTTTATGATGACAGCTTCTGAAACAGGTCAAGACCATGGCTTAACCTAATTTTTTAAGGACCCACACTTTCAGCTTCAATGATTTATCAGAGAGAACAGTGTTAAAAGAAAAACAAAAAGCAAGCAAACAACCCAATGTCCCCCCTCTTCCCACCAAAATAAAACAGTAATAGAGCGTTCTTCTGAGAAGAGCACACAGGAAACTGGGAACCAATGCAAGAGTCCCAAGTACGCCTTTTGAGCAATAAACAAGTCACATCTTGACTCCTTAGTCTTCATGTACAAGATAGCAAGGAAATTCAGTAGAAGACATCCCAATTCAAATTGCATGTTTGCCTTCAAATGGCATCTTTGAAGTCATCCAAAAAGCTTCTACACTGAGACTAAGTGTGATCAAGCTTTGCCCCAAGCTCCAATGCTGCTACGCAACTATCAGTAGTGTTATTTCCTTTCATTTATCTTATTGGAACATAGCCCCTCTTTTCTCTTTCCTTGCTTGACTAAGCTTTTTCTTCCAGCAACTATTTATAGGTTCCTATTTCTGTAAACAGACAAGATACACAATTTTTTCATCTTTCTGCAGAACTAATGACTGAAAACGGACACAAGTGGAAAAAAGTGGAATCCTCTCCCAGCCCTCCATCACATTAACAGTGACTCATAACTGCACCAGCTACATTTAGTTTATTTTCCCTGCATTACTTCCAGACCCGAGTTTTTATTCTACTGCTTCTACTGGACACGAAGATAGCCACAACAGGTATAGAAGAAACAGCAGTGCTAAAATATTCATGTTTCAAATTGATCCTTTTTCCAGGTGTGTCACCCTCCTTCTTTCCTTTCTACATCTACACTTGAAGCTATTTTTGCTAAGAATTTTAATACCAATCAATTGAGAAACAATGGACTTCAGCACCTTGCACTTTCTGCCTTCTTTCCTTCTCTCCCACATTATTGCAAAGCAGTAACGTTATGACAGAAAAGTATTTTCTTCTGTGCTTTCCTCCTCACTTTTAATTTTTCCTTTAATATTATTCTTTGAAATACATCCGCTTGGGTCACGCATATTAAGAAGCCCATCTCCAACTGTCAGAAATGTCCTTGAAGTTTGCATGATCTCATATAAAGCAAACTAGAAATCTTCATTTGAAGTTACACACACCAAAAATGCGTGCCTCTGATGCACATGACCCATTGAAAATTACTTCCTTGAATAGCTGGAATATGCATTTCTCACATGGAGTTTCATGCTTTTGACGCTAGCAGTTGCCAGGGTACAGCTTTTACAATATTTATGCACCAGGTGTACTATTATGAAATATTCTTAAAAAGTTTCAGCACATTTCTTGCAACAACTGGGGGGCAGAGGAGAGGGAAGGATGGCTGCAGAGAACCATTATTCAGCAGAGCCTGCTTGTATTAAGCAGCTGGACAGATCTAGTTTAGTGAGTCATCAAGTATCTGTTGCAATGTGGCACAGCCTTTTAAAAATGAACATTTTCTACAATGTATACCTAGTGTTTGTTCTTGGCCTAGTAAAACTACCCAGAAGATGGAAAATAACAAGCTTCAACTTTACTATAACAGTAAAGGGTAAGATATACTAATATACTATCCTAGCACCGATTTCTGAAAATGCGAAGCTTAAACATTAACAGACCTATAAGTGTGAAGTTTCAGGAAGCTGTTTCTCTTAATACTATTAAGACCAATGTATGTAAACTATCAATATACTAAGTACAAATATAAGCCAGTATACAGATCTCACACCCATCAAGTATGCTCACCTCAGTTTAAGTCCAAAGCTCATTACAATGGGATCACATGCACTAATCATGTGCCTGTGAGTTTATAGACTTTTAACTGAAAAACCTGAAAACAGTCATTGTATTTCCCTCCACAGAATATCAGAGCTCACTGCAATTACTGCTTCTCATCTGGGACACAACTGCTGCTGAAAGCCAAGATCAACATGGGACTACACTAAGAAAGCACTAACACATGACAGAGTTGTTACCACTCAGTTTCAGGCACTGCGAGGATAAATAATATTAATCCATGCAAATTGACACATGAACTTTTATCCACACCTTTCTTCTATTTCACATTTTTATTTTGGGATCTCACGCATGCTTACTACATTAAGGTATTTTTCAGCTTACTGCAAGGTCATAACAGTGCAGCTTCTCTTCTTACAATGGCCGGTAATAAATATTACTAAACATTAAAGCAAATGCAATAAATTCTGCAGTACCCCCGCAGCTGGTAAAGATTTTCAGGGGACAAATCGCTAATTTTAATAAATCGCCTTCCACAACATGTAGAAGGAAAATAACAGTGCCCTCCTTGTAGACCACTTTAAAAATATCTTATGCTATTCAATCAATATAAAAAACCCGCACACTGTTAAATAGCAGGAACACAAGCATTGTTAACTAGTTTTGATTATGAAATCTTTAAAACACTAACAACTTGTTGTAATTTGCATTATTGCTGATAAGCTGTCAAATGAAAGTGCTTTAATATAAAAATATTAAAACATTTCCTTCTTCTTTAGGGTTTATTAATACAATTTTAAGATTTCTTAAATTAGGCAATACAAATTTTAATACTTCACTGCATTTAGCTGCTGACAGATAATGCCAATAGAGAAGCTGTGACTAGAAATTTATGCAACTGCAAGGGTGCAACTTAAGTTCTCTCACACAGTTAATGTTTAACTACAAATCATAACATCAATATGAAATTTTAATTTCAGCTACTAGGGCTTCCATATTGTAATCTGTTTACTGCCACAAAGATATCTCATATTCACACTGATTTTTCAACATTTATTTTCCTGAAACAAAGGAACATGTATGTAGCTTAAGTGCATATCAGTAGCCTACACATTTTCATTATCGGTAGTAACACAGAGTCCCTGAACTCAGGAGAGTGAGATAGGGTATCTATACGCTAAGAGCCTGAAAATACAAAGTTACCAGAGCACCTCCTATACACTGGGAGAGTTTGAAACTGTAACTTCCTTTTAAAGGCCATCAGTGTACTACCAAATAAATACACACAAATGGCAACCTCAAAGCTGATGTACAATAAAGTTTGGTAATAAGAGAAGTGCTACCCTTCCACCTTCCTCTTCTATGTTTGAAGGAGAACCATGGCCTAAGTCTGCATACTCTATGGAGAACAGGGGAAAAAAAAAACCAAACAACTATCCATATACAAATTATATTTGTAAAAGCAAGAAATGTAGGATGAGTAAGACCTGAGCTAGGGAATGGTTACAGACGGACATCCGGTTTGACAGCTTTTAAGGAAGGATTATGTCCTTCCGCATAGTCCTTATTGCTTTTCCTCTCTTCCCTTTGCTTTAATGTCTCAACATACCCCTATGGTGATGGTAACTAGTCTATCAATAAACTTCAAAGACTTTCAGTCTGACTTCTGCTGGCAGATTAAAACAAAATGTTTAAAGCCTGGTTAGTTAAGAAAATATGCAAGCGTACTACAAAGCAAATGGAAACTGTACTGAACAAAGATAACACCTGAAACTGGTAGATTGATTATTCAGATACAAAAAAGTTCCAATGTATAATTTGCTTTCCAGAGGCACAAGCGGCAGCACAGAGTTATCAAGTACAGTAAGAATGAGCGAGAAATTCAGGTTGGCAAGTGAGACTCATTGGAAGCCCCTCTGGACTGAACCACTGCAATCTAGGAGGACAAAAAACTTTGTAAGTGTCCAGAAAAAATAACTCTTTGTTATCTGGTACGTTAAGTTCCAAGAACAAAAAAAAATAATAATAAACACCACACCACGCCCCCAAATTGCTGAAGTGTGTGAAGAGAGTAGGTATTACAATTTTGCTTTTCTGAGTCTAAAAGAGGGAATACCAGGATGTTTTAAAATGTAGGTACACTAATGTTAAATCAAGCCTGTTTAAACCACTTCATGATTTCATGTGTTAAAAGAGATAAAACTACCAAGAAGAAACATAAAAGCAAGAAGTGATGGACTGCAGGTACTTCCAATAAAAGCCTACCAGGTAAACCGAACATTTCACCTAGACGTTATACATAGCAGCTAAATCTTATGTTTTACAAATGCATCAAAGTTAAAATTTGGACATTTCTGCAAGATCGTTTTTGGTTTAAGAGGAAGTAGCACACAATTAAGTTCAAGTTTTAGTAGGCACTAGGTAGGCCTAACATTTGGAAAGTAAAATAAGCTCACTTTACTGATAGATACTTTTTTTTATAAATTGAAGAATGGAGTAAGTAAAGATACTGGTAAAAATTCTACGTGAAAAAGTTGGCTTATGTAAAACCTGTAATTCATTAAAACACGGAATAGACTAGAGAAGTTAATTCTGAAACCTGACTTACAGCATAACAAAAATCAAAAAACCTCATCAAATACAAGATAAAAACCTCAACAAAAATTTTAATACATTTCCTAGCATAACTTTTTTTTTAAAAAAAGCCTACCTAAAATACTTATGCAAGATCTTAGGCTACACGTTACAAAGCACTATTTATGAACATTAATAAGATGTACAGCACTGAAGGCTGGATTCCAGACTTTGTTTTCCAGTAGTCACCTGCAGTTCTACAGAATTTGTATCCTTTTAAAGACTTGTAATCCCTTAACAAAATACCTTAAAGTTTCATAATACCTCTGCTTCTTCCTAATTCTTCTTCCTCTTTCAGTCACGTGTTCTTTCAAACTGTAGTGCAACATACAGCAAGACACTGCCCTGAATTTTTAAAGCAGACTGGCTCTGAGCCAATGCAAACATTTTCCTGAAGTTTACTGGCAAATGACCATTCTCATTGTATGAGCTAGTTATTTCTTTAGCACAGCACCAGCAATTTATCTCTATTTTGCCATTTATGTTATTCTTGCTATAATCACCTAGGATGCTGCTGAAAATAAACATTTTCCAAATATATAAATTTTGTTAATTTTTAATTAAAATCCCAAGGGAGAAGAGACTGTCAAAAAACGTTTCCCTGCCACATTTGCCAGAACAACATCAGTCACACCGGAAGTGATTTACTACTTCTGCAAAAACAAGAGAGGAAGAAAAAGGCTAGACATTAGAAGTGAAATTAACTTTGTCCTGCATACTTAGGATTCGATTAAAACTCAGTTCCAGTATTATCAGCGGAAAAACGACAGAAGAATAGCATCCTTCCCCCCCAGGCAGCTACTGGTAACATCATGTTTTCATACAACTGCCACACGTAACATCTGATGCCAAGTTTAAGCATTAACAGCATCATATGCTGCTCACAGTAAGATGGCTGCCAGACCAGATGCCTTTATTATTTATTCCTTTCAAGGCTGTTTTATTTAAGTGTAGCACACAACTTACACATAGTTGTTTGGCTTACTAATGTTACTTTCCATAACAAAAAAAAAAAGCGCCTTTATCATGTTCTTGCAGTGGGTAGGGACGATTTAGGAACATGATTTCAGGCCGATCAGGTCTCTCCTGTCCGTCAGTCCATCCACAGTCTCCCATCTCCCCTTGTGAATTCAGCCCAGCTGAAAACACTTGCTGTGCTAAATAGATGAACCCTCATAATGTCAAAGAACCAAACACTTTGTCCAGTTTTCCTGCAACAAGAAAAGGCTCCCTTCCAGTGCATAGAGTGGTTCCAGTCTTCAGATGCATTACGGGGCGGGTGGGGGAGTGGGGAGAAGAAAAAAAAGAGAGAGAGAGAGAGAGAGAAAAGGAGCATTTAAGTTTTCAGATGCTGAGACACGGGAGCTGTTCTGCACCTGTCGAATTCACCAGCTCGTGTTTTGCAGCACTGGATCCGGAGGTCCTCCAACGACAGTGGAGCAGACCCCACCGCACCCACCACTTCGCCGAACCCAGCCTGGAGCATGGCCCGGAGGAAGCAGGATGCAAACGGGACGACGTCCCCAAGCCCGTGGGCCCAGCAGGGTCAGGCGCGGGCCCCGAGCACGGCCTGGGAGCGCAGCCGGCGCGGCGTG